CGCTAAAAAGAAAAATTACGATAGGACTGACTCTCTGATCATCTTCAGCTTTTTGCTTTGTACGACTTGTAACGTGCAAGACTCGAATCTACGGTAGAGTACGTACGTAGTCACTAGATCTGTTGGATTTCATTTATTGGTCTCATTATTAAATCAAAAGAATTTGTTTTAAATATTTTTTCGTCCTTTCTCCAATATGTTAAAATTAATGAATTGGTTAAGTCGGCAACCCTAAGACGTAATTAACTTTCTAGCTAACAAGTACGTACATTTATGCATTAAATCGTGCTTTCTTGAACCGCTGAATTCGTTCCTAACAACTTAAAATCATAGAAGAGAAATTTTCTGAAACATCTTTTTTTTTTTGTAAAAATATTCAATTTTCTAATAACACGATCTTAAACTTGATCAACATAACCATAAAACCTAGCTACATTCATTATTTATAATAACACGATTCATCTAAAGTCTAAGTATACTTTATATACAAACGATTACCACCTAAATCCAAATTTTACGAGTGAAAAGGAAAAGAGATTAGACGTTTTGGACGTGGATCGCATTTTGCTTCCCTGTAATAACCAGGTCATATAAGTACTAATTACATAATATTTAAATTCTGGTTAATCTAAAACCACAGAGGTTAATTAGTAGTGCAAAATGCTATCATTGCAATGGATCTATTCAAATCGTTTTCTATATTTCTTTCAGTGTGGTAGGGTTCTAAAAAAGGCTTCTTATATTAAAAGTTGTTCCATTATTACGTCATTAATAGTGTCGACAATATCAAATAGTGACAACGCGGACTTTTCAAGGTTTTTGCTTTTATTGCTTAAAAAAGATATCAAATTCAGCTATCAATATTTACAGGAATGTCTATTTCGGTGATACTTTCATAAAACGTTAAAAAAAACTCATAAGAATTAATGGATACAACCCGAAGCCGTATATATCCATGAATATGTACTATATATAGCTTATCAAATCAATAAAATTCTGAACAAAATTTGTATGTACGATATATGAATCAATATATGCACGATTGCTTTTAAGTTATAAATCATGCATGTACCATGTATGTTAAATGCCATTGATCAGCTTCACTTAGTTCTTAAAGCTCTAAGCCAATACGGATTCGATCAATCAATCTTCATCTTTTTGTTTTTTGTGAATGTTACGAACTTACAGCCAAAACTTTATTTGTTGTTATTATTTATTATTTTGTTAGGAAGCAGCCTAGGTTAACCACGGGAACAACTAATAGTATATTATGATTATTTTAACAGACCGTTATTTATGAGTGTCGTTCCAAGAAATCGCGGCAACAACTCAAATTTAAATTTTTTTTTTTTTTAAAAGCAGTCTAGGTTTCGTTGATAAGAACAAAATATCGTTTGTAGATAGAATCATACCTATATAGGTGATGTTCGTACTATCTGGATGTAGAAACCAAATATCTTCGTTTAAGTACTATTAAACACATCATCTAGATAGAGCATCAAAATGTATTTGAAAATTTTTTCACAAAAAT